TCTCCCATCGCGGATATACCAAGCAGGACCATCCATGTACCATTGCTACATGGTGTAGTAAATTCAACACACAACCTACACATACCTCAACCTCTATGAGTTACAACGTAGTCACCTACACCATCAACTTCGCATGGCCACCAACTAAAATGTCACACAAGCATATAAGTTCTATAGAATACTTCTAATAGGATTATAGAATCACATTGTCATAATATTTATCATACTTATCATTCACATTATTAAGAAGATAATTAAACACATATATATCACAATATGACGTTCCATACACGTAAACCGATGTATATATTATCTGGGATAACTCACTAACCAATATAGGCCCACTAAACCCTACATAGTCTCTAGTAATATTGATTTTAATATTTAAGATCAATTCGTAGCATGTTGACCAAAAGTCAAGTATCTGTCAAAGGTGGGGTCCACACCCTATACAAGTCAATCTGGAACATCCGCCCATGGATTTCCGATTTGTAACTTTCCAAGGGTCTTATTTATCTTCTAGAACAATATTCTAAAATTTAGGAACGATCCAACGGTCGGATCTCTGCCAATTGCTAGAATTAGGTTGCTATCAATGTTTGGTTTTACAAACTTAGAAATTCAATTTGGGAAGATCCGTACATTGAATTCCCAATCCGTTAGTTCCTATGGTCCTTAAATATTACGTACCATAACATATTAAGGTTTGGTGACAATCTAACGGTCGGATCGTTGAATCATAAAATGGTTAAGTGACATAATATTCATACTAGGTTCAAACTATCGAACTATATCAAATGGTTATAAAATTTGAAATCAAAACATCGAATTTAATTTAAAAAGGCAGTGTCGCCCCACCAGCCATGTGCCGCCGCGGGTGGCGGTTTTCGGCAAATGGAAACCCCAAATTCCGACCAACACTAAAATTCACCAAATTTTTCAGAAATGTACAACTCAAGGAGAGGAACATTTTTCATACCTGGGCTGAAGCCTAGTTCGATTGAGAAGTGGCCGGAAAATCCCTCGAAGCTTCGGAAACCCCAAAAATGGTGAGCTTTGATTCGTCACCAAAACGAACTCCGATACCTCATCCAACGCTTGGGCCTTGCTCCTGGGATTGAGAGGAGTCTTTTGGTGGTGGTCCTCGATGGTGAAGCTTGCCAGAGCGGCGTATCTCCGCCATGGGTGCCAGAGAAGACGACGATTGTTCATCGTAAAATCATGTCCAATCGCCATCGAGTTTGTGTGGAAATGGAAGCTTAGATGATGCTGAGTAGATTGCAAGTGGTGGTGAGCCTTGGATAGCCGGAAAAATGCCAGAATTGGCGTTGAAAATTATGAAAGAACCAGGTCGTCAGGTCAAGGGTTTTGAGTTCCGATTCCTCTCTTTCTCATCTCCCTTCTTTCCCCTTTCCTTTTCTCCCTGATTGGGCAGTTTCACACCTCATTTCTCTTCTCACCTTTCCATCATTGCCATACACGTGGCTTCATCCCAGCCATTCCTACTCCAACAAATCTGGAGCCTTCCAAATTTAATAATTATATGACCATTTTGCCCTTGACTTTGTTCTTTAATAACTCATTCGTTTGAACTCCAATTTAAGTTCCGTTTGCGCCCACGCGTTTGTATCAACACGTACTATCTAGATATGCAAAGAAATCTGAAAAATTATAAAAATATCAAGTACGTCCACAAAGAATCTCGTTTAACACAATAGGGGCAATTTCATCTTTTTACTTACAAATTAAAATTTTATACATCATAAATATAAACGCGTCGAAACTACGAATATGAATACTACATATGAGATACATAATTTTAAATAGTGAAATCCCGGAACGAGATTTCACATTGGTGGCACAATTGGCACATAGAATGCACATCCAAACGCATAAATACGAAACGTTAGGTTCATACCCAGTAACCAGCAATAAAGCCAAAAATAGCATGCAGAAAACCGAAAGCTTGGTCCACTCACTACCAAGATCCATACAATCATTTAAAGGTGTTAATTAATGGTTCCTACGAGATTGTTTGGGTGTGAACATAAGGAATTAAATCTTCAACTTATGTACCCAAGGGAAATGCAATAACCATTGAACTCTTCGCTGTAAACTCTCCAACATTATCCAATCTTCTAGCCTTTATGGCATAATCGGGGTGGTGAGCCCACAACCTAATATTGGGGCTAGAAACCTAGAAAAACGGTGTTGTGTGTGGATAAACATGTTACCAATGTTTTGATATATCAACCAAACCATAAATTATTTAATTGGTCCGCTAGTTGGATCAATCCATAAATATTCTTCTGAATTTGCGGTAGAAAAGATGGAGGATCTGTTCAAATCTTGTTCGTGAATTGATGAGTAAACAACTTGTCCAATGAACATGTTTCGCATGAAATGCAACGATCAATGATGTCCATAAATCAAGGAAGGGGATGCCCATGAATTGTTTTTAGAATATGGCACATCATAGTTCCATGGGTGTCCAAAGTGGTCATCCCACAACATAATTTCCAATGCAAGCCTAGCGGTTGAGTCGGCCACATGTGTGCCTCAATAGATCGAATAGTCGTAATATACATAACCACCTGGTAGACATTCACGGATGGTCCTAATATACATAACCACTTGAGAGACCTAAATTTGAATAGAGAAGAAGAAAGGAAAGAGATAGAGAAGAGAAAGGCTTGAGGATTATGTGATTAACATTCCTCATGCTTAGGGCCCTTATTTACAGGAATAATAGGGAGAGAATAACTTGCTCCCCAAGTAATACAAAGTCTAGTAAGTCTAGTAGGAATCTAAATTTTCTCTACGTAAGATTTAGACAATAACTTAATATGGCTTTTTAGCCAAAATGGTCCATGAGATTTGCATAACATATCACTTTGGTCCCTGAGATTGAAAATCAATAGAAATGGTCCCTGAGATTGTCCACCATCCATTATTTTGGTCATTCCGTTAAAAACTCCATTAAGTGTCCTAGAGTTCTTGGCCGAAAGTTTTGGCAATTTTCAAAGCTTCGTAACTTAATCGTTTCTTAACCAAATTCGACTGATAATATATCAAAATGAAGATAGGAAAGTGTAGAACAAGATTATACCTATTTGGAAGCCCAATGGATTTTCAAAAATGAAAATCATACTTCTCAACAAGACAAAGAGAATGGTACCTTTTTTTACGGCTAATTCGCCGTGGTTTGGCCGGAAAATGGTTCGAAAGTGGCCAACTCGAGACCAAGACAGCCACTTTTGAGCCATTTTTCGAGCAAACCATGGTGATTTAGCCATCAAGAAAGGTACCATTCTATTCATCTCATCGAGAAGTATGATTTTTGTTTTTGAATCACTTGATTTCGTTGAGTATTGAAAAAGTTATGAACGTTTAAAGTTTACCTAGTTTTCGGCGAGTTTTCCAGTTTTCCTACGGACCAGTCACCTTTTAGGCTATTTTTCGGCCATCTCCTGGAACCATTGGGCTTCCAAATAGGTATAATCTGGTTCTACACTTTCCTATCTTCATTTTGATATATTATAGGTTGAATTTGGTTAAGAAACAGAGTTTTTAACAAAAGGACCAAAACAATGGATGGTGGACAATCTCAGTGACCATTTCTATTGATTTTCAATCTCAGGGACCAAAGTGATGTGTTATGCAAATCTCGGGAACCATTTTGGCTAAAATGCCACTTAATATTGACTGTCTTTTTTTTTTTTTTTTTTTTTTTTTTTAATTTCACCCATGCTTTTTTTGTAATAGAACTCCACACCTACTGGTTTTGCAAGTTATTATTTGAGCCTCACTATTTAGCAGACATGAGCGGTGTAAAAGGCGAGGGCAAACCCCTTGTTTATAAAAGGGCCCCCTCACTCTCACTAGAGAAGGGAACTCTAGCCTGTTTACTCTCTCAAGCCAACAAGTCTTCATGTATAATGTTACCGACATTTACTCAGTAAAACTAGAGGCTAGACCAATGTGGGCTTAGCCTCAACTCAGGGTGAATCACGATATATTTTCTGTTCTTGTGTGTTTATATACTTTTAAGGTCAGATCTAAGTTGATTCGATATTAACCCAATTCTACATCAACACAGGTGATTTAAGTTGAGATTAGTTTCACATGTTAGTAGTAGATCACCAAACCCGCGTTAAACCTTGGACCAAACTTTTCACTCTCAATTGAAAAGTGAAGACTGTTATATTGGCATGCAACACATGATAATTTTTTAATTTCAGTTCGGACATCAATTACATTTTTAATTGGTTCGTAGTCGTCTGTAGAGACATGGACTACAAGACAACCTAGAAGAGTGTTCAAAATTTGACTCTCTCAAGCCCCAAACTTACGAGTTCGGATCCTCGCGGGTTCCTCTTTACGAGGATTTCAAAAATTCGTGAATCGTGTCCGTTCATTGTATATCGTGCGATCAGTTTTTATCAAGTATTATTTATATTTATTTTTTAATAAAAATATTTAAAATAATTTTTTACCGCACGATGTAAACTGAACGGACACGATTTACATAATCCGAAATCCTCACAACGTGGATCTGCTCAAGGGTCCGGAAAAAGGTGCAAACATGAGTCAAACACAAAACAAGACCCTACGCCTATTTCGTGGTACTCTCTCAATTCCCTCTCTATAAAATTTCAACCAATTCCTCACCAAAAACACCATCAATCTCAAGTTTGATAGCAGAGTGGCAAATCCTACCAATTTTGCAGCATTTCTCGATGGCTACGCTTCAATCTTCTTTTTGTTCTTCTTCTCGTTTTTCTTCAGCTACGTTTAGAAACACAAAAGCCACTCTTCACATACCAAAATTCCAAAAATCATCCTCTCTTTCAGTTCCTAGACAGCTCCTTTTGAATGAATTAAATCTAGCAGCCACTTCAACTGATTTAGAACACAACCCAAAATTCGGAAACAAGAAAAAATCAAATCGTAACGAACCAAATTCGGATTCGAATTTGGTGCAAGAGTTGTACGCAGTAATGGAGATTGTGTCTGACAGAGCAGAAATGCATAAGAACATATGTGCTCAGAGGGACAACTGGAACGCCCTACTTTTGAACTCCGTGAACGGAATGACAGCCACGGCGGCGATCATGGCCGGACTCGCATCAGCAGCAGGATCCGGAGCGTCCATTCTGCCCCTCAAGCTCTCTGCTGGCCTCCTCTACATTTCCGTCACCGGGATTCTGCTGGTGATGAACAAAATCCAGCCTTCCCAGCTGGCGGAAGAACAGAGAAACGCTTCCAGGCTGTTCAAACGGCTTCACCAAGAGATCAAAACGACGCTGTTTCTGAAAACTCCGACTTCAAAGGACGTGAAACTTGCAATGGAGAAGGTGCTGGCATTGGACAAGGCCTACCCACTTCCTCTTTTGGGAACCATGATCGAGAAGTTCCCGTCCCACGTGGAGCCCGCTGTGTGGTGGCCGGAGGAGCACGGGACTGGGCATGAGAAGGCGGGCGAGGAGGAGGTAGAGAGGAACGGCTGGGATGAGAAGTTGGAGGAGGAAATGAAGGGCGTGTTGGGTGTGGTGAGAGGAAAAGATGGTGCGGAATACGTGAGGCTGAGCAATGTGGTGCTGAAGGTGAACAAGGTTCTGGCAATGTGTGGGCCAATGCTGACCGTGTTTGCGGCGGCTGGGGCGGGGGTTGTAGGGTGTGATGGGTTCGTCGGGTGGTGGGGTGCGGTGCTGGCTGTGGTGTGTGGGGGCTTGGGTGTGGTGGTGAATAGTTTGGAGCACGGCGGGCAGGTGGGGATGGTGTTTGAGATGTATAGGAGTTCTGCTGGGTTTTTTAAGCTGATGGAGGAGACGATAGAGTCGGCGTTGAAGGAAGGGGAGGTTGGGGGAAAGAGGGAGAATGGGGAGGTGTTCGAAGTGAAAGTGGCGCTTCAGCTCGGAAGGAGCATTTCGGAGCTCAGAGATCTGGCGAGTTCTGAGTCTTTGGCTTCCAGATTGAAGCAGGTCAAAGAGGAGTTTGCAAGCAAGCTCTTTTAATTAATTTTGGTTTTGTATATTTAGCTAGAACACAATTGGAAATTGGACAAATTACAGTCTTTCTTCTTTTTGATAAAATACAAGTCTTTATTCAATGAAGAATTATACTTGCAAGATCAATTTATTTAGTTTATTAGGAATAGTTCATTTTATTAAAACGAGTCAAATCCCATATTTTAGAATTTTATTATCAATAATTATCTCTTTAATGATAAAATTTATTATAAAAAATAAATTTCTCGTTCTTCTCACTGCTCTAAACTCTATTTATAGATTTTATTTTTAATTTTTATAATCAACTTATATCATAGGTTAATTGTATTTATCTTCTTATATGATAGTTCTTTTTATAATCAACCTGTCTCAGAAAAAAAAAAAAAAAAAAAAAAAAGGCAAAATGGTCCTTTGTGTTTTACTCTATCAGCCAATTTAGTCTCTGTGTTTTCAATTTGGCCAAATTGGTCATTGTGTTTACATCCGTTAGCCAATTCCAGACAATCCGTTAAATAATGTGTCTTGCTTACAGAGGTAGATTATAAAATTAAAAAAAAAACCCTATAAATGGGATGTAACACAAATTAATGTATCTTGCTTGTAAGTATATTATGTATTTGTACATTTTAGTTAAGTTTTATATCTTACTTATAGGTATAAATAATTCATATATTTATTACTTAAGTTACGGTCATATGTTATGCATGAAATTAGAAGATTTTTATTTATCTCTAATATTTAAAAAATATATATCTAATGAGTATAAAAGAAATAAAAGTGGAGGAAAGATAACAGTGGACATAACCTAATAACTTCGTTGATTTTTTGGATCGATCTAAAGCCCCCATTTGCAAATGCTGAATCAAAACTTTGCAACTGGTTGCGTTATATGCATGTACTTAATACATTCACTATTTAACGGTCAAATACGAGATATGATATTCTCTCTTTTTATTTAACCTTAGATGGCGAAGGAATGCACCGGAGGAGCTAAATTACTCAGCCACAAATAAACTTGGGTTCAAATTCAAATATTGAAAAGTCTCACTTGCCGAGTAATGCATAACATCATACCGTAAAATGCAGGACTGCAAAATTTACATACGATTAGTTCTGCAAAAATCCACAAAATTTAAGGGTGCCCTGTGCCATAACATGAAGGCACATGCTCGGGGTCAAAGAGTTAAAATGTTTCCGCTTAGCAGACTGACGGACTCCAACATCTCTTAAAACGTTTTTCTTTTTGGGATTAAAAAGAGTCGGTCAGCTACATCTTTCGGCAACGCCGGGTTCAGATTCTGACTTCTATGCGTTCGTTTAACAAGTGTTCCTTCACTGACTGAATAGGCACCTGCAAGGATTATAATCAGAGTATTAACAATGATAATCAGCACCTAGATGCTAACAAGTCATATAAAATGTTCAAAAGCTATACCTCCTTCCGATGAAAAATGCCGGCAGCTAGGGCAGCCGATGCATTTGTTTTCCTGAACACCTCGGAGAAGTGTTCAGCAGAACCAGCACCGCTACTAGCAATCACAGGAATGTTCACAGCGTTTGAGATCAGCTTTATTAAATCTATATCAAATCCCTTCTTTTGACCTGAAAGCATTGAAGACTCAGCATAAGCGTGAAAATCCAACAAACTAGTTTGAGAATGAAGTAAAAGAAAATTGTAAATGACAGCAACGCCTTCCAGAACAAAATATATAGTTTCAAACATTTGGGAAGTTTGAGAAACTAAAACTAGAAGGGGAAAGATAGCATTCATTGTACAAATGAATAACTTTATGTATACATTTTATAAAGAAGGGTTATGCTCGAAAAAGAAATTAACTTGTAACAGAAAAAGTTTTGAGGAAAGCAATAGTAATCTTTACCGTCACAATCAATGCAGTTTAGCAGTATTTCTCCAGCTCCAAGCTCCTCAACTGCTTTTGCAAGCTCATACGCTCCAATTGGTCGGCCTTCTCGGCCACCGCTAACCTGAAGAACATACAACAGATATTTTCAAGATATAATCAGGAAAATCTTGTTATAAGGATCTCTAATTGTTGCATCTGACAACCAAGTTCATCCTCTCGTCCAGCCAATTATATATTTAACATACAATTGAAGCACAGAAATGTCTCACAGTGTATCATAATACAAGTTAAATTAGAATAATGAACAATTCAATGGAGCACAAACAGATAAAGCCATGTGGGCGCGGTAAAAATAAATGACATAAGTTATTCTAAGTTCCTTTCTCCCTTGTGAAGAACTTAAAACTCTACCAGCGACTATCTTAAATCAACAATATATACTCCAAATCATGTCTCTAGAGCTCATAATTAATGCCAGACTACGCATACTTTAAAGGAAATTCCCAGACACGGAGGTTCATGGGATTCTTGTTGCTTTTTTTTTTTTTTTTATGGGGATTTTAATTAAATGAAGCAATTCCATGTAATATGCATGCTTCAGAAATGCATCATGTTTTAACTTTGAACAGTAGTACATAGGTAAAGAAAGCAAAGGAAAAGAATACTTACTGTGCACTGGTACCATGCAAATTCTTCTCCATTTGGACCTGAAATTAACAATAAGAGAATTTATTTCTTTACAACTTTCCTAGAAATTTTAACACATGGTTTTACTCTATAAAACATGAAGATCAATGGCATATCCAAGTAGGAGAAACGAGGAAAGAAAAATTTGAAGTTATGGCCCCTTACCTTGGGTTGCTACCCTTATAGTCTTGAACTCTACATCTTTTGGATTTTTAACATACACTCTGCAAGGATCAATGCTCACGACCACAGCCTGCATCAAATAAAAACATTGATCCATGCTTTCTGCAAGACTAAGACATAATGGCAGACATAATTACAACCGTCTAGGTGACCATGACTAATTAGTCAGTCAAGACTCCATACAGAAAGTCTTCACCGTCAATAAATTCAGAACACATAAAAGCAGAAAGAACAAAATGAGATAAGCTTCTTTATCAACTCTTGTTTCCTAAGTTATGGTCCTACAAGAACCATAATGAATTCTCAGAGGGTTAAAAAAATGCTTCAAAAACGGATGCAGGGACAATTCCAGCTAAGGAAAATGATAAATTTGGGGGAGTGACTGGCACTTTGCATTGCTGTTATTAATTGGAATTTAACAAAATGTATACTGAGACTTCTTATACCATGTCAAATTGTGCAGATTAACTCAAAAGAATGTTAAGCAAGGATGCATCTACTGGACAACATATTACCTGATTTCCATAAACTCTAGATATCTGCTCTAAGCTACTTTTTCCACTTTTTACCTGAAAAGTCAGTTGAACAACCATGAGAGAGGCATGCATAGATGTGGATTGTACAGATCTGAATTTGAAACAGCGAAAGTTATTGCATACTCCAGTTCTCAAATATTCTTCTGCAGCATAAACTGCATCGCTTCCAATAGAAATCTTATCAGCCCCACATCTGAAATATTCCGAAGCAACTTCTAAACTAGAATAGTGCCTGAAAAATAAAAAAGTGAACCTATAATCCATGTCCATAGACTCCATACTGATACATTTAATTGGCATATATAATTTGAGTTGAAGATATTGGATTGAGTTTCTCTAGAGAAAAACATATGCAGGAAGGATGAAACGTGCAAGAAAAGACAATTATTGGTCCATCAAAATTTTACACCTAAGATTATACCTGCCATTTGCATCTGTAAAATCTCTGATGCCACCTCCGACTGTTAATGGTACAAAAACATTTTCTGATGTATATCTCAATACCTACAAAGCATGAAAGCATAGGAAATTAATTAACATGTAACAATCCAGCTTTAAAATCGGAGAACTCTCAATTGTGTCACAGCTGAAAGATTCAAGTCAAACATTAACAGATTTTCTATTGCAAACCTGTAACATGGGCAAGTCGCCCAGAGGGAAGTCTCGAAAACCAGTAATATTTAGAAAGCTGACCTGAAAATTTCAAAACCAAGACTTCAGCAGATTACTATGGCTCTTTGATAATATATAAGCAGTGAATTTTGTTCAAACTTAAGGAGGCATACCTCATCAGCCCCATCTTTGTAATATTGTCGAGCAAGCTCCACAGGCTTACCAAGTTCTCTCGCCTATTAAAGTTTCTGATTAGCAGACATAAAAGCAATTTGCATGATATAACAAAAATAATTTGAACCATATCAAGAATATGAAAAGATATCAAGTAAGATCTTGAATAGTCATGATAGAACAAGAACCCCAATGAATAGAAAAAGTAACCCTTTTCTTTTTAACTAATAACAATATTCCATCAAAACAAAGATATGCTTTCTTCGGGTGCTGCTTCTGATCCTTTTTAAAGCAGGTCACATGCTCAAATAGGGAAAAAATGGTATCAACTATCAAACCAGAAGTGCTTGAAACGAGCAAAGAATCTACAGTAAGATCCATAAGTGGGGCTTATTGAACTAGATCTTATAAATTTTGACTGACATAAATTATTATTCACTCATGGGATTTATAATATCTTTTGTAAGCATGACGATTTGTATCCAGAAACGAGGTATAAAAATCACCAAAAACGTATAAGTGTCAAGAATTGTTGCAATACCTCATTCTCTTTTGAGTGCTCTCTTACATCATATTGGTCACCTTTGGTTACAACAAGATCTCCCCTGTCATTCGTCCTCACATCAAGACAAGCAATCACCTAAGCAATACAATTTAGGGACAACCTTAACAGTCAGCATATGACAGACAACGAGCTAAGTGATAATCTGAGTCCAACATATGATATTGTAAGTTGGACTACAATATTATAGGTCGGATTAAAATTGAATCCCCTTCCCCCACTCCCCCCCCCCACCCCCCCGGTCCACCACTAAAAAGATAAACTATAAAATAAGTCAATAAGAATTACCCTCTTAGCAAGTTTCAAAGCCTTCCTTTCAGTGGGCTTCTGTCTTCACAAGAACATCTCAGATTGTTAGATGGTTAAACGTAGTCAATGTATGGGAAG